TGCCACTCATCCCATTGGGGTGCTCAGCTCTGGCAGGGGCCCTGTGGGTGAGACACCACCCCTCCCCACTCTGGCTGTCTTCCTGTGCTCAGAGGTTGAAGCTAAGGGCTGAGGTTGGTTACCAGGGAAACTGAAGCCAGGTCCTTGAGATTGGTGAACAGAAAAACCGGCAGTGGAATTCAGGATGTAGCATGGATTATGGGAGCCTGCCCATAGACAGAGGATTGACAGTCACTAGTGCACGCACCCACAGGCTGCCTGCGCAGGAACCAGGAACGTGCGCACACCGTACACGGACACACACGTAGACATGTGCACTCACCAGCACTCCCTCTGCCCAGGTGTGCACAGTCTATCTGGCTGGAGCATCACGTGCACGTGGAGGAGCCGGGCGACCAGGCAGGACATGTAGGCAGGACGTGGAATAGGAAAAGAAAGGGGATATTGCTTACTGTTGTAGAAAAAATGACTGCATACCCTTTCCTCCACAACTTACGGTCACGTTTGCACTACATGTTTTAAATGGTTTCACTAAGGTTTAATTTGCTTGCCACAAACTTTCACGTACCTAAAGGGAATAAGACGGAGAGATTAAGTAAATGTACAGAGTTTTGCAGCCCTCACCACCATCCAGTTTCAGAATACTTCCATCACCCCAGAAAGATCCCTGGTACCCACTAGCAGCAGTCAATCCCCATTACTTTACCTCCAGGCCCGCCCAGGCAACCAGTAAGCTCCTTTCTCTCTCTGTAGAGCTGCCTCTCTGGGCATTTCCTATAAACTGACTTGTGCAGTAAGTGGTCTTCTGTGTCTGACATTTGTCAGTTAGCATAACGTCTTGGAGGCGCAAACATGCTGTAGCATGCATCAGTAGCGTGTTCCTTGTCATGGCTCAGTAACGTTCGGCTGTATGGATATACCACTTCTTTATCCCTTTACTGACTGGTAGACATTTGGCTTGTTTCCACTCTGGGGCCTTCCTGCAAAATGCTGCAGTGAACATCTGAGCACATACCTTGTGCAGACATGGTTTTATCACTAATGGGTATCAGATACTGTGAAATATTTTTCTCTGTCTATGAAGATGACGATATAGTTCCTGTCCTCTATTATATTAACAGGGTGGATTACCTTAACTGACATTTGAATGCATTCCTAGAGTAAACGTCACGTGGTCATGTTGCGTAACCCACTGTATGTGTCGCTGGATTGGGGTTTGCTAATATTTTCTTGGGGATTTTCGCATGCATATTCATGATGGATATTGGTTTATGGTATTCTTCTGCTGTCTCTGTCTGGCATTGCTATTATTATTATTATTATTATTATTATTATTATTGTTTTTGAGAGAAATCTCACCTGTTGCCCAAGCTAGAGTGCAGTGGTGCGATCTGGGCTCACTGCAACCTGTGCCTCCCAGGTTCAAGCAATTCTCCTGCCTCTGCCTCTGCCTCTGCCTCCCGAGTAGCTGGGAATACAGGTGCCCACCACTATACTCGGCTAATTTTTGTATTTTTAGTAGAGTCGGGGTTTCACCATGTTGGCCAGGCTGGTCACAAACTCCTGACCTCAGGTGGTCCGCCCGCCTCGGATTCCCAACATGTTGGGGTTACATGCGTGAGCCACCACGCCCAGCCTCTGTCTGCCTTTAGTTGCAGGGTAATACAATTTTCAGAGGATGAGCTGGGAAATGTTCCCTCCTCCTCTACATTCTGAAAGAATCTGTGAAGGGCTGGTATTATGTATTTTGTAAATGTTGGATAGACTTCACCAACGAGGCACTGGAACCTAGACTGTCCCTAGTGGGAAGATTTTTAATGTAGTCTTTCTATTTCCTTACATTCTCTGGGTCTACTCCGATGTCCCACGTGATCACTGCATTTGCACCTTTCCCTGTCCCAATCTTTCTCGCCTGCTGGTGCTTTTGGTTTGGTCTCTACTCTAAAATGTCGCATGCTGGACACCTGTGGACATCACAGGACTGCAGATCCTAGTCTGTAACTTGGGATAGTATGGTGTCTCAGATATGACCCCCAAGTCCCATCCACCCCCCAACACGCAGGTACGGGGACAAAGACCTGGAAGTGAGGATGTGGAGGGTGTGCCGAGTGCCTCAGTTACCGCCACCCACCCATTTCCCATGCCTGTTCCTGGAGACCCTGTGGCACTGTGCATCTGTGACCTCCCTGATCAAGCCCCTGATGTCTGGTTTGTCCAACTCAGATCCTTCTCACTCCTTTCATCTCCTGGGACTGGGACCGCACAGGATCAAACACCCGTTCTCTGACACAACAATGCGTGCCTGCTAGCGTTTCAATATTTGTGTTCCCTCCAAAACTCACAGTGAAATTAATCCCCACTGCAACAGTGTTGGGAGGTGTGGAATAACAGCAGGTGTTTAGGCCATCGCGGCAGAGCCCTCGTGAGTGAATGAATGCTGCTATGAAAAGAGCTTGCAGAAGTCGGCTTGCTCTTTTCCACGTCTGCTATGTGAGGACATAACATTCTTCCCGGCTTGTCCTTCCACCTTTTGCCACGTGAGGAAATACCAAGAAGACTCTCACCAGATGCCAGATACCGGTACCTTCGTTTTGGACTTCCCAGCATCCAGGGTCATGAGAAATAAATTTGTTTCCATTACAAATTGCCAGCTGTCTTGGTTCATTTTACTTTGCTATAACAGAATACCTGAGACTGGCTCATTTCTAAAGAAAACTGGAAGCCAGGCACGGTGGCTCGTGCCTGTTAATCCCAGGACTCTGAGAGGCCAAGGTGGGAGGATCACTTCAGGCCTGAAGTTCGAGATCTGCCTGGGCAACACGGCCAGACACTATCTCTACAGAACATTTAAAGATTAGCCTGGCATGGCAGTACATCCTTGAGCTACTTGGGAGGCTCAGGTAGCAGGATCCCACCTGAGTTCAAGGCTGTAGCGAGCCATGATCGCGCCACTCCACTCTCGTCGGCAACAGAGCATCACCCTGTCTCTAAAAACAATTCATATAAATACACCTTTTAAATTAAAAGAAACAATTGGTTTATCTGGCTCACAATTCTGCTGGCTGAAACATTCATTTTTGGGCAACTGCATCTGGTGAGGGCCTCGGGCTGCTTCAACTCATGGTGGAAAGTGGAAGAGGAGCTGGCGTGTGCAACGAGATCACTTGGAAAGAAGGAAGGGAGAGAGAATCCAGGGAGGCCAGAATCTTGTGAACAATCCACTCTCCCGCGAACTAATTCATACCTGTGAGAGTAAGAACTCAGCCCAGCAGGATGGCATCACAGGACACTGAATCATTCATGAGGGATCCCTGCCATGACGCAAACACCTCCCCCTAGGACCCACCTCCCAACACTGCAGCACTGGGGATTCAACTTCAACCTGACTCTTGGTGGGGATAAACACACCATATCCAATCCAGAGCACCCAGCCCGTTGTATTTCATGATATAGCGGAAGGACACAGACTAAGATGGGGTCAGCTCTCTCTCCCTGATGAATCGCTCAATCCCCCGGAGCAGGGCTACCTCTGCAACTCCTCCTCACCTCCCCACCATGACAGTCGACGTAGCCCAGAAGGGAGAGAAGCAAGGTGAGAAAATGGAAACCCTGATGATTGCTGAAATGATGACTGTCACTGGCAGCACGGACCTGGTGTGCTTACTGGGCTGACTGAGAAGGTCTGCAGAGAGCATCTGAGTGGCTGCGGAGTCAGACAAATGCATGCATCTCAGGCCACCACCTTAGGACCTGCACAAACTCTCCGCAAGGTGGGGATGATTGTACCTGGCCCACGGCACTGTGTGGAGGATTCAGCAATGGATCTCACCAAGACCTGGTGCTACCAGCTATGAAATGAGCACCAAAGCCCGGCTCTAGGCACTTCACCCACAGCCTTCACAGCGGTGAACTGCTGAAGGGGGCCAGCTCCGATCCCAGCCTGCCTAGGTTCGGGTGCTGGTTCGGATGCTTGTTCTACCTCTTACTGCCTGTGCCACCGTGGACTAGTTCCCTCTTTGGTGTTCTGCCTTCCAAATTCATAAAGCGGAACTGAAAATGTTGCTAGAGGATGGGTGTGTGGGAGTGGAGGAAGGCAGCTGACATACAGAAATGGGGAAAATACCGTCAGAACCCTAGGAAACATCAGCCAAAGGGCAACGCCTTGAACCCTTTTGAAACCCGAACCCCATGAAGCCCTCCGAGATTCACCGGTCTGCATTTAGGCCTTTGTGTTTCAAGAAGGAATAGCCCTGCTGCTTTTTCCCTTCTCCCCTGGAGCTAGGTCAGTTCAACTGTCAACTCTCTCATGAGATCTCAGCATCAGAACCTAAGACACTTACCTGTTTTCAAGCCACTTCTGTTGGCAGGAGACGCATAGACTTTTGCAGCAAGACAGCTCTGAGGACTACCTAAAACAGACTGACACAAAGCAGAATTTGTTTTCAGTTCAGAGGAGTCACACGGGTACTGGCTGGGTTCATATCTCAGGATTCTGCAGAGGTTAAAAAAAGGAGAGAGATTTAATCATTTGTGCCTCCTGAAATTAAAAGACACACATGTCTAAATCCCAATAAGATGTTGGAAGAACCCAAGGATGCTCTGGTTCTGACAAAGCGGGTGCAAACTGTTGCTCAGGTTCAGCCACCTGGGCCCACCACACAACAAGCAATGGCTCCGCAGCCCCTAAGCCAGGGCACCAGCACCAACACGCAGGGCTCTCACCGTGGGTGGTGGACTCTGCTTCCACGTCTCCTGTGCACAGGAAGCCTCTCTTCAAAGTCATGGCCCTGCCTCGCTGGTCTGGATGCTGGTCCAGCTGCAGGGCTCAAATAGTGACTGGGCTGTTCTCTGGTGCCCTCCCTCCCCCGTTCCCAGTCTCCACAGCGTAGAGCTTCCCTCAGTAAACCCGGATCCCCTGCTTGGGGAGATTTCAAGGTAGTCAGCTCAGATCTAATGAGAAACAAACCAATACTGAGGAACAAACCTGAATTCTACACCCATTTTCCATTCCTACATATATTTATTTGGTACTGATGATGAAGAACCCCATCAGAAATTCCTGCAAGGGAGAATACTACTCGGCTGTTAGGGGTATTGCAATATTTACATACATGTAGCTTACCACATACATAAATGATTACACAAACAGTACAGCGGTGAACCAGCCAAGTTCTCATTCCACATCCCTTTCCCACACTGCGTTTAGCTGCCCATTCTTGAAACGATCTCAGGGCAGCACATTGCATTTCAACAGGCCTAGTGCTGCTTCTCAGAGGCAGTCAACTCAATGGTGCAAAAGCACAGGACAGCGACAAGGCATTCACACTACACAGACATGTGATCTCTTACTGACAGCAGGAAGGGAAGAGAGATGGAGATCCCGGGTGGGAAAGCAACAACATGCATCACGGGAGCCACGTGAGATGCGGCGAGGACCGCTGGTATGCAGCGTCCCTTGCCAAGGAATGCCTCACAGCCATCCGAGAATGACAGGCACGAAAGATGAGGACCTTCCTGGGGTCGGTCAAGCATCATGCTGGGAGGATTCCCACGTGTCCCGGCACACAGGTCCTGGCGCTCATCCCAACCACAGCTTGGTGTCTGGTCCCCAAAATGGGCCCACACCCAGGCGCTGCCAACACGGCAGTCCCTTTGGGTCTCCATCCCATGTGGGTGCACGTCTCAGTTTTCCTCTAACCACTGCTTCAGCAGCCTCTGAAACATTATTTTGCTCTCCTGCTGCCTCTCTCGCTGGCGCTTCTCCTCTGTCTCCTGTGGTTGGAGTGCTGCTTCGGGCAGAGGCCCGGGCTGGTTGGTGCCTAGGCTGAGGGTCAAGCCACTGAGGCCCTGCACCAGCGTCTCCCAGGAGGAGGGTTGTGGGGCCCTGTTACTCTCCCCAGGGATCCCAGAAAGATTTGGCCTGTGGCTCTGGCAGTATCGACATTCACATCGGAATCGATTCTGACCTCGGTCACCTAACGGGGAGACTCTGGCTTCCCTCCCAACAGCATAGGGGGCCATGTGATCGCGGTGTCTCCTCCTCACGTGCCGCAGGAACGCTTTCTTCCTCTGAAGGAACTCCAGCCTCTCCCACTGCCGCTCTTCCAGCGTCTTCTCCTCTCTGTACCGCTGGTGGAGCAGCCCCTCTGGGAGAGGCACAGCCTGGCTGGGGCCAGGATCGGGGCTCAGGTTACTGAGGCCCATCATCGGCTGTTCTGAGTGAGAAGGCTGAGAGGACGCTGGATCTTCCTGGGAAGTCTCTGCAGCTGTCATCAGGGAAGATTTGGAAGGTGATGCTGGATTCCGTTTCTGGAGTGGATCCATGGAGGTCTGGTCCCAGCTGGAAGCCCTGCCAGGCCCTTGGGTCCAGAAAAGGAGGTGAAGCTGGAGGTTCTCAGACACGAAGAAGGTAGCGAGGAATGTGTGCGGGCAGAACCCAGACTGCAACACAAGGTGATAAGACCAGAAGAAAACACATGATTATTCATCTTACTCAACCTCTCTGTCCCTCCACTTCCTGTGTGTAGAATGGAGATTATACAGAGACCCTGTCCTAGGCTTCTTCTGAGGATGACGTGAGATCATACATGTCACCAGCTTAGAATATTAATGCCATCTAATAAAGGATTTAGAAATACCAACTAATGCATCCACGTGACACGGAGTGCAAAAGGCTGCGATGCAGTTCGACGATGTCAATTCCATGCTGACACTTTCCAACCCCTTCCCAAGCATCATTGGTAGAATAATCAAGGCGTGACTCACAGATGCTCTGCCCATGAGTGTTCATTTTTCATCCATTCACAAGGAAGACTTTTACTCAACTGTAAGCGTTTGCACCATGGGGACACACCCTTTTGTATGTTCACCTTCCCGACCACTGGGTTTGCATCTAGTCAAAAGGGCTGCTCATGCCTATGGAAATCGTTTCCAAATTCCGAGTGTGGATAAGAATTTATTTTACTAAATAACAGAAGCAAAAACCCCCGGGAGACTTCAAAGAGAAAAACACATAGATGAATTCAATTAATCCAAAAGCTGGTTCTTTGAAGTGATCAATGAAATTGATACACCCGTGGCAGGACAGGCTGGGAAAAAAGAGGGCAAAGAAACAAGTTACCAGTTATCAGGAATGCAAGAAGAGACTGCACTCCAGACCCAGAAAACATAAAAGGGTCAATATGGTAAGAACACACACGGGTCTACAGATTCATATTCCACAGGTCAGAGGAAATGTAGCACATACTTGAAAACCACAGGCTATGGAAACTCACACAGGATGGATTTCAAACACTGAACTGTGTCACAGTCCTGTATGTTTTAAAGAAGTCGAATTCACAGGCAAACATTTGCAAAACGATCTCTGGGCCGCAACAGTTTCACTGGCCAATTCTACCAAACGTTTAATGAACAAATATCACCAACTTACCCAACTTCTTCTAGGAAACAAAGCAGAGGCAATGTGCCCCACTGATTTTATGAGGCCAGCACCGCAGGGATACCAAGAAAAGGACAGACCAGTATTCTTTCCTAATACAGGTACCAAAGTATTCAACAAAACTTAGTAATTGGAATTCAGCAGTATGTGAGAAGAATAGTAAGCCACCATCAAGTGGGTTTTATAGCAGGAATGCAAGGGTTGTTCTTCCCACACCTGAAAATCAACCAATGTAATCCACAGATTGAGAGATAAGATGAAGAACAAAAATGACAGGATCACATTAAGCTACGCAGAAAAACCATTCAATAAGATGCCAAGTCCACTGGTGATATAAAAGCTGTAGCACACTAGGAACACAAGACAACTTCTTCAACCTGAAAAAGGGCGTGTACAGTCAAAGCTACAACAAACAAGCCACTTAATGGTCAACGACTGGATGCTTTCTGCCTAAGGATGCGAACCAGGCAAGGACGTCCACTCTCACCACAGCTATTCAACGTCACGCTGGAGGCCTAGTCAGTGCTATAATGCCAGAAGAGTCATGGCACACATCGGAGAAAGCAAGAAACCAAAGTACTCCTTTTCATATATCCTGTGATCGTCTACATGAAACAACCAATGAATCTCCTCCAGACTCTCAGAGCTAATAAGAGCTTACTGCTCATTAATGAGAGCTTAGCAGCGATACAGGAGAGAAACTCAACACACAGAAAACAATCCTATGAGTAACTGGAAACCTAAATTTAAGAAATAATACTGTTTTACAAAAGCTACAAACACAACGAAATGGTTATGTATAGAGCGAAAATACATGGAAGGGGTCTGCATGCCCAAAACTATTATACGGTAATGAAGAAATCAAAGATGATTTAGTTAAATGGAGAGAAACAATGTGTTCCCATATTTAAAGACCCCAAAAGGTTAAAAGTCCATTGTCCCCAATTTGATCTGGAGAATGAATGCAGTCCCTGCCTATCAGAATCCTTGAGGGACATTTGCATATATAAACAAGCGGATTCTACAATTCACGTAGAATATTTGATGTTTCAAAAAGCAGAAGGGATTTAGAGAGGTCATATTATCAGATTTTCAGATTTGCTCTAAAGCTGTAACAATCGAGATTGCTGGCTTACAGGGGTAGACGAGTAGATCCATGGAATAAAAGAGTCCATGAATCAATCCATCCATAGAAATGTGTCCAATAAGTTTTGACATGGGTGTGAAAGGGAATCCAATGGAGAAGGGATAAGCTTTTCAATGCATGAGGTGGCCTATCCTTATGCAAAAAGATGCACCTCAACCTCAACCTTTACATGCAATTAAGGAAAAAGGGTTCAGAGACCTACAAACCGAAGTTCAATACTAAGACTTTTGGGAGAAACCGTAGGAAGACATCTTTGTGAAGGGAGGCTAGGACATGACCTGAGATGCATGATCCATGGAAAGGAAAGATGGATGAATAGGAGTTTGGCAAAATTTAAAACTCTGGCTCTGGCCGGGCGCGGTGGCTCCTGCCTGTAATCCCAACACTTTGGGAGGCCAAGGTGGGCAGGTCACTTGAGTTCAGTTGTTCGAGGCCAGCCTGGCCAACATGGTGAAACCCCGTCTCTAACAAAAAATACAAAAATTAGCTGGCGTGGTGGCACATGCCTGTAGTCCCCAGCTACTGGGGAGGCTGAGGCAGGAGAATTGCTCGACCCAGGAGGCAGAGTTTGCAGTGAGCCGAGATCGAGCCACTGTCCTCCAGTCTGGGCGACATAGCGAGCCCCTGTCTCTAGATAAATAGAATAGAATAGAATAGAATAGAATAGAATAGAATAGAACACAACACCACACAACACAACACAACTTTGGCTGTGTAAGAGCCAGTGTGTTCAGAGAATGAAAATCGAAGTTGCACCACTAGGAGGAAATGTTTGAGAATCACCGACCTGACAGATCTTATATCCAAAATACATGGCGCATTTTCAAAACTCCACAATAAGAAAATCAACACCCCACTAGAAAATGGGGGAAAAACTTGAACGGGAGCACAAGAAACCATATTTAACATCATTCAGCATTAGGGGAATGCAAATTAACACTGTGAAGACTGGCAAGGCCAAGCAAGGAGAACATGTTGGGCGACTGGAACTCTCACACTTCGCAATTGGGAGGGCGAAATGGCACAGCAACTTTGAGAAGGAGTTTGGCAGTTTCTTGTAAGTCAAACAGATGTTGACCATAGGACCCAGCCATCCCACTCCTTGGTATCTACTCTAGAGAAATGAAAACTTAGGTTCACAGAAAAGCCTGCACTGAATTGTAAAAGCAGCTCGACGCAAAACTGCCCCACACTGGAGTGAGGAAAATGTCATTCAGTAGAAGGATGGCTGAACGCCTGTGGTCTTCCACACAGCGAAACTGCTTTCGTGAAAAAAGAACAGCCTATGACAGAGGCATCTGACACTCATCCAAGATGTTCGTCGGGCCAAAAGAAGGAAGCCCGCCTCACAAGGCCACAAACTGTTTGGTGCCATTGACATAACACTCTCCCCAAGACAAACCTAGAGGGAAGGAAATAGATCACTTTACACCAGGGATGATGGATGAAGAAGGGGTAACCGCAGTGGGGCAGTTCCTGGGAGCACCCTGGGGTGATGGGACTGTTCTGGATCCTGACTGTGGTGGTGGTGGCGACAAGAATGTATGCCTGTCAAAGCTCACAGAACTGTACTCCTGAGGGAAAAAAGTCAATCTTCCTGTAGGTTAAGTGAAAAAACCCAATGGCATATTTTGTAGTAAGGGTATCTCTCTGTATTGTTTTGATAAATACATCTTGGATGAATGCAACCAAAAATTGACATTAAATGCTAAATGGAAACTTTAGATCAGCCTTCCAGGCTCTATTCTTTTTATTTAATTTTTTGAGACAGTCTCGCTGTGTCGCCCAGGCTGGGGTGCAGTGGTGCAATCTCGGCTCACTGCAAGCTCCGCCTCCCGGGTTCACGCCATTCTCCTGCCTCAGCCTCCGAGTAGCTGGGACTACAGGCGCCCGCCACGCCCGGCTAGTTTTTTGTATTTTTAGTAGAGATGGGGTTTCACCATGTTAGCCAGGATGGTCTCGATCTCCTGACCTCGTGATCCACCCGCCTCGGCCTCCCAAAGTGCTGGGATTACAGGCTTGAGCCACCGCGCCCGGCCCCAGGATCTATTCTTTTGACAAACGTGGAAACCAAGAATTCACTAGTTTTCTTCAGAGGATACTGGTCCTGTGAATGTTTATTCACCAAATCGTGGCTATCAGCACACACTGGGGTAAGAAAGACAGAATCATATCAGAAACAGTTCGAATATGTACTGAACACACACACACACATAAACACACACACACATCCCAGAAAGAGTTCTTATCCTTTCAGACATTGCAGCCTATCTTTCCTATGAGTTGGTTCCCTGACATCCTTTGGGCCACCACTATCTGACACAAACAGTTATGTGTGGAACATTTGGAAAATGATCTTAACCCAATTACATCCCAGCCAATTCTTATGTGTCACAAGGACTCTGTCAGGATCTATTTCTACATGTAGAACGCCAATTCTCAGAGAGCGAATAGACCTTACAACCCCCATCCCCCCTTTTTGTTGCTTTTTTGTTTTGTTTTGTTTTGAGGCGGGGAGTCGCTCTGTTGCCCAGTGTAGTGTACAGTGGCAGAATCCTGGCTCACTGTAACCTCTGCTTCCTGGGCTCAAGTGATCCTCCAGCCTCAGACTCCTGAGCAGCTTGCACTATAGGCGTGAGCCACCATGCCCGGCTAATTTTTGTATTTTTTCTAGGGACGGGATTTCGCCATGTTGCCTAGGCTGGTCTCAAACTCCTGAGCTCAAAGTGATCTGCATGCCTCAGACTCCCAAAGTGTTGGGATTACAGGCGTGAGCCACTGTGATCAGCCACAAACACCTTTATAGGAAGAAATATAGAGATTTTGGAGACATGAATTGACAACTGGCCTGCATAGTCATCGCTGTTTTCTCTCTTCCTCCCTCCAGCAATTTTGTGAAATGAAACATTTTACCATCTTATGTGTAGGTTCATCCAGAGTCTCAAACCACGCTCACGGAGTTGCTCATGATCCCTGACAGAGGCATTAAGGACAATGAAGCCTAGAGAAGTCTGTTGTGTGTGCAGAGGGGAGCAGCTGCAGCAATACATGTGACTTCCCTTCCTTCATCATCTCACCAGTCATTCCTTCAACAGGCACTTGCCCCCAGGTAAAAGACCTTGGTATCAAAAATCTCTGCGTGAAACACCACAGCCTCAAGTTTCCTGCATCATGTCAGGCAGCTACTGAAGAGAGGGAAGGACTACTGGAGACAGGGAACCCAGACAGTTTACCGGCCAGACCTTCACCAGGAGAGGTGATTTTTGGGTACTGATTCCCCACTGTGATGGTTTTATTGGTCAACTCAGCCAGGCTTGTTGCGCAGTCCCCTTTGGTCAAATGCTACTCTAGATGTTGCTGTGAAGGGATTTGTGGATGTGATTAACATTTACAACCAGGCTGGGCAAGGTGGCTCATGCCTGTAACCCCAGCATTTTGGGAGGTCAAGGAGGGTGGATCACTTGAGGTCAGGAGTTCAAGACCAGCCTGACCAACATGGCGAATCCATGTCTCTACTAAAAATACAAAAATTAGCCAGGTGTGGTGGTGGGTGCCTGTAGTCCCTGCTACTAGGGAGGCTGAGGCAGGAGAATCGCTTGAACCCAGGAGGCAGAGGTTGCAGTGAGCCGAGTTTGTGCCACTGCACTCCAGCCTCAGTAACAGAGAGACTGTCTCAAAAAACAAACAAACAAAAACGATTTACATCAGAAGACTTTAAGTAGAACATGTGACCCTGCACGATAGGGGTGGTTTCATCCAATCAGTTTAAGGCCTGAAGAGCAAAGACTGAGTCTTTCCAGGAAGAAGCTATTCGGCCTCAAGGCTGCAACATAGAAACCCTGCCTGAGTTTTTAGCATGCTGGTCTGCTCACAGATTCAACTTAAGACTGTAAGATCAACTCTCATCCAAATCTACTGCCATGTGACCAGTCCTCTGGATTTCTGCCTTGCCAGGACTCACACTGCCATGAGCCCACTCCTTTAACAAAATAAATCACCCGATAGAGAGAGAGGCATAGATATATAGAAATTCTATTGGTTCTCTCTTTTTTGGAGGATCTGGATTAATAACCTTGCAATATACCACATCTTTCTGTAGTCCAGCCCAAAAACATTGACCAAGTTACCATATAATCATGGGCCAAGTGATATGGATTGAAAGAAGTCTGCTAGAAAATGGCTTCCATTTATTTCGTGCTTCCATGTGCCAGGTAAAGTGAGTTAGGTCTTTTATGTCCCTTATTGTTGAAGAAAAAACTGGGTTCTTGTCATATGACCAGGAAAATTTAGGAACGTGGACACGTTGTAGGGTGAGTAGGGCAGGGTTTATTGGGTGAAATGGAAAAAAAGAAAGCGGTACTCTCAGCAAAGGGAGAGTCTTGTTCGCAGGCTCTCACCTTACAGGTTGCATCCCAGCCCACCACACAGGAACTGAAGAGGCCAGGCTGCTCCCCTCTACAAGCGGTGTGAACTTCTCCTGGCTCCACCCCTTGCCCCAGTGCACAGTTGGGCATTATTCAGATAGAATTAGTCGGGAAAAGGCAGGCTTCATCCGGTACTAGCAGTCCGGTTTTTCAGCCTTCAGGCTGTTTTAGGCTTGAAGGCAAGGTTTCCCCCAGGGACCCTTAGCTGTCTCCCGTCTCTATCATTATCTCATTTAGATCTCCCAATCAACCTCTAAAGTAGGTAGAAGTATTGGCATTTTAGAAATAAGGAATTTGAGGCTTCAGGAGAGAGACAGACTTCAGTGGTAGGGTCTCCAGTGGAAGCTTTTGCCAGTGAAAGCTGCTGAGTCTCGATGGGAGGGAAAAGACATTGGTGAGAGAAGGTGGCACCAGGTCATGGAGAGCTTTCAATGCCATGCAAGAGCAACAACAACAAAAATCATACTTGCTCTGTGACCTGTCCAGAGACAGCCCCCAAACTGGAAGCAACCCTAGCCCTCCTGCAGACAGAAGTGGAGGTGAAGCGAGTGGATCCGGACAACATAAGATGATACGTATTGATGGTTCCCACATGGGGCCACCTACAAGGGAACAGCTGGCATTATGTGGAGGGGTCTTTGATGCTGAGAAAAAAAAACCTAAGGAAAGTGTGGGAGAGAACAAAAGAGACTCTAGGGCTGGCCAGAGAAGTCTAATGTGATTGTCATGATTTTTGCTGTAGGAGATGCAGTGCAAGGCCCTTCTTCCAAAGTAACCCATGGAGCCATCTGTTGTAGCGAGAAGCAACATGTCAGGCTCATTTCTACAAACTTTCTTTGCCTGACTTCATGATGTACTCACAAACACACCCCTCTCAGTTTGGTATTGTTAGTATAAAAAATAAAAACCCACTTCACAAGTGAGGATGACAATTTTCTCAAGGTTATATGATTGCCATGGAGAGAACTGGGTTGGAAGCCTGCCTAGAATCAGAGCTAGTGTCCCTAACCACTACACTCTATTGGGCTCTCAAAAAACATTCCCACAATGTCACCAGATCAAGACGTCTCTTTCAGCTGTGAGTAAAGAAAAATCCCTCATCAGTTAGGCCTGATCAGAAAGGCAACTCACCACCTCAGCAGGTAGAATGGGATGACGATGGACAGTTGGGGACTGCAATGGCTGAGACTTTTACCTCTAATTCATCCTGCAGGACTCAGCTGAGATAGCATTTCCCCCAGGAGGCCTTCTTCAAGCTCCTAAAATGCCCTGTATTTCCCCTGTCCCAGCCCCAATCCCACTCAGCTGTCAACAGATGGTTATTTCTCTGTCAACCCACTAGCCCAGGGGCTGAGAAAGGCTGGGGACTTTGTCTTGTTCACCCATCACAGAGCCTTGAGCCCAGTGGACATTTACAAATATCAAATGCAACAAGGAGGATGTGGGGCATTTACTTCAGTTTAAAGACACAGATTTCATTTAATAATCCCAATTAAACACGGAATTTTTTCTAGAAATGGCAAAATCCTACAGCAAAATGACTAAGATCCGTGCAAGGTCGCTGGGTGCTGAAAACTATGCTCCTAGTCTCATGTCATGTCATGGCAAGGGAATCTAACACCTAGCCATGCAACGCCACACAGATTGAGGAAAGAGTCTGTCCTACACACAACTTGCAGACGTTCTACATTTTTTATGCCTACACAGATTATCTCTATCCTACTGGGTCTGGAGTGGAGGAGATACAATTTTTAGCAGCTTTGTAACAAAAGAACAGGTAGTCAGTAAAGCCAGCGATGCCCATTTTTAAGAAACAAAGAAGAAAATGAAGACAGCAGTGAAGCGTGGTGCTGGTATCCGGGGTCTCCCAGCAGCTGAGTATATAGAGAAGCAGCGGGAGTACAACCAGGAGTCCAGGGAGGGGCACAGGGGAGGGACCAAGAGGAGTGGCCAGAGCAGCAAGAGGAAGACAAGGAGCAAGTTGGCTCTGGCGAGAATGGAGCTTACCTAGACTCACCCAAGGCAGTCAAGTCGCTGGGTTCACAAGGTCGATACTGTGGGTGTAGGCCGAGTGACTGTTACATCTTTCACCTAAAAAGAAAATAACCTCACTGGCCAGGTCACATTCCTCCAGGTATTTACTGAGGGTCCACTCCATTCAGTGGTACCTTCAGTGAATTATCAAATGCAGCCCCATCCCAAGGACACATCTCAGTCTGAGAAATAAAATACTGTCCAAGGAGCCAGGAATGGTGGCTCACGCCTCTAATCCAAGCACTTTGGGAGGCTGAGGTGGGAGGATTGTTTGAGCCCAGGAGTTTGAGACCAGCCTGAACAATAGGGCAAGATCACCGTCTCCAGAAAAATTTTAAAAAATTTAGCCAGGCATGATGCTGCACACCTGGGGTACCAGCTACTGGGGAGGCTGAGGTGGGACGATCACTTGAACCCAGGAGGTTGAGGCCAGTACAATCCAGCCTGGGTGACAGGTGAGACCATCCACCAAAACAAAAAAAAAAGACAACTATGGCAGGCATGAGACGGGGGTACTTCTGACACAGAGGAAGTCAAAACCACCATAGCCCAGGTGGTCAGGAACAGCTTCTCCCAGGGCATGCTATGATATATATTATCATCCCCAGTTGCAGATGAGGTAACAGGATCAGAGGTTAAGCAACTCACTCAAGGTCACACACCTAGGGAGTGGTGGTGACCATTTCTCACCGAGGTCTGCTGAAATACAAGTCACTTCACTATTTGTGACACCAATCTCTCTTTATATTGTCACCCATTTTAATTCGCATTAACTGACATCTACTTACCTGCGGCTCTCCTTACCTTCATATTCTCATAAGCGGCTAAATACGGTGTAGATTTCATTTTAGCACATCAGGCCCTTCCCTTAAAGAACCTAAGTTTCCCCTGCCAGGCACGAATGCCCAGCCCAGAAGTGAACACTTATCTCAAATTAATCTTGCAACCACACACTAAGGAAAGGAAATGGATTACTGCCATGTAGAGATTTAATTTGGGTATTTCACAAATTCTGAACTACGATTTGAAATGTAACCACTGTCCAACCAGAAACAGTAAAAACTGCTTCCCTATGAAAAGTATTCACGGGAAATTTTATTAAATGCCAAAGCATTCCAGGTTAAGACACACTGCCCGTTTTACAGGGAGTTGTTGAGATTCTGCTCCTAAGAATACAGTAGTCCTTTCTCTCTCCACTGCTAGCGCCCTAATAAGCTCAGCCAGCAAGGCCATTCGCTTTTCCTTTTGCGAGCAAACACACCAAACTACCCTCACACCCACGCACAAATCCAACGCACCCAACAGGGATACGTCAGTAGAGGGAAATGGTATTGGAGATGCAGATGGAAATCTGTGGCTACTCAGAGCACCACATTTCTGATGGCGCAGAGGGTTACCGCCCAGGGTCGCCTGTACTCCAGCAAGGTGGACGGCGGAGAGGCCCTCCTTCTCCAAACATGAGACCCTGCAGCTTGTGCGGCTACTGGACACAAATGGCCTGGACCATTCATTGCGCACGAATGCAGCAATCACAGCGCCCATTAAACGCATGTCTAGTCATATTTCACGTTACAACCGTCCCTCTGTCACACGTCGGAGAAAGGGTTTGTCGGACGGTGTGTTTCAATAGGGGCAATACAGTCCTCCTTGAAAACCCTCGAGTCTCCGTCTCCTGCTGTGCGGTGGGAGAGGAGGTGGGGAGGGAGGTGATGCCAAGGACACGGTGATTTCTGAACCCGCTGAACACTGATCCTAGCCCAAGTGTAGTCCCGCCGGCTACGAATGCCCGCGGAATCCTCTTTCTCCGCTGAAAAAGGCCACCCCCAAGCAGGGAAAGAGAACGACGCCACCCCCAGAGTGCACGACCGCCATTCCCACATCGGGGAGATATGGACGACGGGGAAAATCACCCGCTTCCTTCGAAATCCCCGCTCCCGGCCGGCCCAACCCAGGGATTCGAATCCCAAGACATCCTGGCCTGTGCTAGGGACAGTCTCAGTCTCGGCCTCTCGCTCTGTCTCTCTGGAAGTCTCTCTCCCACCCCGCGCCCTCAGTCTCTCCCGCGCGCTCGCTCGCTCTCTGTCTCTCTCGGGCTCTCTCACGCGCGTTCTCGCTCCGGAGCCGCTTCCCGCCGTCCAGGCGCCAGCGCGGCGCCTCGTTTCCTCCGCCCTGGAAACGCAGCGCCGCCCGCTAGTAATTGAAGGGTTAAGACCATCGAGAGGAGCCGCCCTCCGGCGGGCTAGACGTGCCGCAACGCGGAAGGGGGCGTTGGAGAGGATGTGCTAACGTCACAAGGATGCGACGCCGCTGAGAAACTGGACCTTTGATTGGCTGCCGCGGACCGCCAGCGAGCCGGGAGAGGGAGCGAGTGGGTGTCTGCGCGAGAGCGGTTGGGTGGCTTCTTGCCACCCACGCCGCTCGGGTGGGCTGCGGGGGAGAAGGCGGGAATAGGTCATTCCTTCCGGAGGTGCGCGGCGGCGTTCCCGGAGCGGCCCTCTCTGAAGCGTGGCTCGTGGACGGGCCGAATGCTTCCGGAGGCCATGGGAAGAGACTCCCTGTAGCGGACGTGACTTCAAGGGCGAGGAATGTGGGAACTGGGCTGGAGGGTTGGGAGGAGGCCGACTTCTCCTGTGATTGGCTGAGAGTTTTGAGCTAGGGCGAGCCCCTGAGAACCGACACCTGCTGTTTCTTTTCTTTTTTTTTTTTTCTTTTTTTTACTGTTTTTGCATGAATGATACATGCACCTTGGTAAAGACAGAAACCAAACAATACAAGACATTGAAATTATTCAGGCTACTGCCTTAGGGAGAGCGCCCCAGAAGTGGAAATCACACTGTCGGGGTAACCGGGGCGGGGCGGGGTGTCTTTTACTTTCATAGGAAGGAGTAGACCTGTTTTAGTGGGAATATTTATGGGGCAGGGTTTTTGTTGTAATCAGCGGAAGTCTCAGCCAGCTTAACAGGGAATGTTTCTCTCTGTGCCTAGCTACTTCTAGGAGGACAGACTTCCCGTCCAAGTGAATTATTCATGAGACAAAAGAACAAGGACTGGTGGGATCTGCTCTCTGAGAGTCATGGCACAGAGTGGACAGACAGCATCCCTTATCTAAGTCTCATGGAGAATAATTGGTCCCGTGTGGTCAATGACTTCCCAGAACACGAAAATGTACAGAGATTTCTTTACCGTGGCGTACTTCAGGAGTCAGGTGACACGCAACAGTGTCTATCCTAGCAGATACATGGATAGTAGATTCCTTTTTAACCCTGGAAGAAGCCACCTCGTGAACAGCTGTTTATGAAGGAAGGAAACATGAATCATTATCCCAGAATATTATTTCATTTTACAGATGAAGTAACTGAGCCACAAAGAGGTTAAGCAACCTCCCCAAAGTCATACAAGAAATAAATGGTGGAGTCTTGATTTAAATCCAGGTGTCTGTGACTTCATCCTCTTCGTGCTGTGCAGCCATACACTGTCATTTCCAAATCCGCACGTGTGGCTCGATTCTCTCCCTGAATCTACAGATTTCTTCCGCCAACTGACAACCCCACAGGCCCGTTGGACTCACCTCCTCCCATCCAGTATCCTCAGCAGTTGGAGATGGCTCCCCAGAGAAGAGAGTGTTAGAGATCCTGGGTCCCAAAGGCCCTACCCAGCCCCTGGAGGGAGAGGTGGGCTTCAAGAGGAAGTTTAGAAGATTTGAAGGGAGAGTTTATTTGTCTGAGGGACAGGCTGATGGGCTATTACAGCACACACGTGATAATAGACACCTGTTACTTTGAATTTATGTATTTACTTTTTTTTAGTATTGGCAATACATGCTGAATGGTGATGATGCCCAAAGCAGACAGGTAAGATCAAGCAGCCACTGTATGGGCAAGTCGAGACGTTCCCATTTTACTTGGGAAGACCTGACAAGAAAATACCACTGCAGTATAAAAGGAGAACCTTCTCCTAGACTCAACAAATGAAACAAATTAGTCATTTTTTCTAGTTATTCTTATTCTCCTATTACAGATGAGGCACGGTAAGCACAGGGAGGTTAGGTAAGCTCTGCGAAGTCATTCAAGTCATAAGTCGTTGAGTCCCATAGCAAGTACTACTCAGCATGTCCCAAAGTGAACCCACCCATCCCCACTCTCCTGTGCTGCCTGACTCAGTGACAGGCACCACCCTCTACCCAGCAGCTTGGGCCAAAGACCTTGAAAGCCATCTTTGATTGCTGCCTCTCACCACCCCCACAGTTGACCAAGCCTGGCCAGTTCGACCTCCCAAGTTTTTCTAAGTGAGACCTTGACACTGACTCCTCTCCATCACCACAGTAAGTTCCCTAGTTCAGTCACCCTCATCTCCCTCCTTGAGGACCACCACCAATTCATAGCTCATCTTGCTGCCAGTCTTGACCCCTTCCCACCCATTCTCTGTCGCAGTGAGTGGGGCACCTTTCTTAACTGCTAATCTGGTCATGCCAAACCTTTTCAAATTCTATTAGGGCTGCCTGCTGCCCTTAGGATAAAGTCCAGCCTCCTGGATTAGGGATATCAGGCCCCGGCTACCACCAGGCCTCTCTCTTTCTAGCATGCATGCTCACTTTCTCGCTGTCTCTCATGTCCGCCGCCTCACACCCGCCCTTCCCTCTGTCTGGCCTGCACTTGCTCCATCACCCGCTGCCTGATTCCTCCTTACCTTCAGCTCTCAAGTGAAGGAGAGCAAATTATATTTTGCCTAAGGAGCACGTAATCAAAAGGCATGCTTAGTGGGTTTGATATTTTTACTCAATAGCACATGATGGGGATTCATGAAAATTCCCCCAATGGGCCAACCAGTTGGAATGTCACCTGAGAGTAGGGATTTTGGGAAAAGTTTACTTGCAAAGACTAGGATGCAGGAAGATAACTGAGGAAGGTGACAGGTTCATTTGCCTGACTATAGCAACCTTCACTGTGTGTGTATAACAACATGTTATATAAATACACACATAAATATATTGTATATATACAATAAAAACATAAAAAATAATAAAGATACACAACATAGATCTCTCCTTCATTCTTATAGACTCATCAGGTGTGAATGTGGAGTTTGGAATTGTAGTCCCAGGTTCAGCACCATGAAGTGATGTGGGCTGAGGACCTGCTTCACAGCTAGTTCTTCCAGCCATAGAGTGAACTGTGAGGCTTAGCTTCATTCACTACAGCCTGTTATTTCAGCTCCTAGCATTGCACACCTGAATATGAACAGAAGTGTCTGCTTTGGACATGTGGACAATGAAAGAGAAAAGATGGGAATGGCCCTGGTCCTGCCACCATCAGCCCAAGCCCCAAGCCTGCCTGGAGGGTAGACTGGACTCCCACTGTCCCAGCACGCTGGCCTGCACACTGATGTACCCCTAACATGGCACAGTGTGAATGGCTCTTCCTGGAGCCTGGCTGTTGAGGACCTATTGTGTGCTACTCACGTACAGTGTTGATTTCCCAAAGACCCAGAGAGGTAAGTATTAAACTCCCATCTACGGATAAGGGACCAAGTTGAAAGAGGTCAGGGCACTGAGGCAGAAAAGGCTGGATCTGGGACTCACATGCGGGCTGTGTCAGACTCCAAAGCCAGGCATCTTTAAACTCACGACAACGTACTTTGCTTATGCTCCCCTTGCTGAGCTGCAGATATTATTCCGTGATGGGACAGTAAGCCTGGTCCCAACACTATGTCCACCTGTGAGATCCAGGCCCCTGGCAGGGCAAAGCCACCCTGAAAAGTTCTAACACAGTCCACAGGAGCTGCCCTGGAGTCCCTTGCCTCAGAGCTACCAGTCGAGTTTAGCTTCTAGCTCTCCCCCAGGAGGCGCTTTGCCCTATCACAGAGACACTTGCAATCCACCCCTGCCCTAAATTACGTCTCCGTCAGCCTCACTTTATTTAACAGATAAGAAGAATCTAGAGGCAAACAGAGCAGAGGCAGCATTAGTGGCTGCAGCACAGCTGTGGAGTTGATCAGACTCCAAATGTGGTGTGGAAATCAACAGGCTGAGAATGGGAATCTGGTTCCTCCTGTTCTTCGGCTCTCTGGACTGTAAGCTGTGCAGAATCAAAGTGCCTGCCGCAAAACCTCCCCTCTTCTGAAGAGTCTGTCCTGACCCAACCCTTGCACACACACATCCCTCAGGTGAGGGTAGCACACAGGTGTGCTCCTAGGAGACTGTGGGTTGAATTCTGCCATGACTCTCCTTACCATCCCCACCCCAGTGTGGGGGTCATCTGCCAGCAAGGATACAGTCGAAAGCATCCCCCTGTCCCCAGAGTGTCCGGTCAGCACTCAGAACGAGTTTATTTGGTTAATAAAGGAATTTCACCCAGAGTACTTGGTCAGTAATGGTTATGATTGTAGCAGCTCTGTGTGCATTAGAAATGCTCCAGGAGAATCGAGTGAACAGAGGACATCTGTGCAATGAGATTCTCTTCCCCTGGAGTCAGGGAGGAGGGTTGTAACTTTCCTCTCTTCCCTAATTCCAGAACTCCTAATAAAAGAGGCTACAAAATTATTTATTCATTTATTTATTTATTTGAGACAGAGACTCACTCTATTGCCCAGGCTGGAGTGCAGTGGCACAATCTCAGCTCACTGCAATCTCCACCTCCTGGGTTCAAGCGATTCTCCTGCCTCAGATCCCAAGTAGCTGGGATTACAGCAGCACGCCACTGCACCCGGAAATTTTTTTGTATTTTTTGTAGAGACAGTGTTTCACCATGTTGGTCAGGCTGTTCTCGAACTCCTGACCTCAAGTGATCTGCCTGCCTCACCCTCCCAAACTGCTGGGATTGCAGGCGTGAGCCACCGCACCCTGCCAGAATTTTTAAATATGTCTCGGCCAGTGTGTTACTCCATCAGGCTCGGCTGTGACCTCCCAGTGGGACAGCAGCGATGGGTTCACCAAACTCTCAGAGTACCCTAGGGCAAGTGCATGTGGGCCTCCCCCAGGGTCTATAGGGAAAGAGGATTGTTGACTGGGTTCAAGCCTCCTAATCGAGGATGTGGTTCTGTTGCTACAACACAGATGTCCACGGCAACAAGGACATGAACACCCAGATTAGCACGTCAAGTTGGGGTGGGCTGCGCCAGCCCCCTTGCCTGTCCTAGCTCATTGCCCAAGTCATCCTGGTTCTGACTGCTCCTGCCCAGGTCCCTCTGTCGCCTGAACTCTACAGGCTGCACAGACATGCTTTTGGCATCTGTGGCCCTTCGTTGTCCCTTTCCGTGTCACTGGCAGAGCAGAAGCATACCTGGCCCAACAGGATCAAGTCCCTGTCACCGTGGCACCTCCAGCCTTCTGTTCAGCTTCCTGCCGGTGCGCAGGTGTCCTTGTGGCATCTGTGCTGTGTCGGACCGACTCAGCCTCTGACTTTTTTCCAACTGTTCCTTCTGTCTGGAAGGCCTTCACCACAGATATCTACTTGACTGACTCCTCCCCCTTCACATCTCTGTCAAACTGTCACCTTCTCAACCCAGCCTACCCTGGTCACTCTGTGTTATAATTAACCTACAGCCCACCCAGTTCCTCCCCCTATTCCCAGTCCCTGTACCATGATCTGTATATTTTTTTCCTTTTAACACAGCCCCCGTCACTTTTGTAAACTAAAAATAAAATTCTAAGCCCCACTTCCCAATCATCTGAATGGACCCTCTTGGCCAAAGCTACTCCAAAGTTAGCCTGAAAAAGTAGTGCAGGCCAGGATGGGAAGGGTGGGTCAGACATGTGTCATTACACGCCTCTCCCTATGGAATTCAGGCACAACTGACCAGCATTTATGTTAAGGCAGAGATCTTAAGACTATGGCAATAAGACACCAAGTTCCAGCCTGACTAGTATAGCATCACATGACAAATAGGCCCTGAAAGAAGTCAAAGTATTTCACCCAACAATATATTTCTTCGACACATTTTGAAATAGGCCTACAAAACTATCTCTTGTGAGGAAGTCTACATTCTGTAGAGAATCCCTTTCCCTTTCCAAGTCTTTTTCCTGGTCTAGGAGAGAATTAGCTAAGAGTCCAGCAACTTTTAAGGTCTGATAAGAAACATTTACAGTCTATTCCCTCTGAAGCCTGCTACCTCGGGACTTCATTGGCATAATAAGAACCTTGGTCTCCAAAACCCCTGATCTTAACCCAGACACTCCCTCCTATGGATTGGAGGTCTTTAGATAAACTCAAGCAATTGCCAATCAGAAAATCTTTGAATCCACTTATGACCTGTAAGACCCCATCCCCCCACACCCACCAACTTGTAGTTGTCCCGCCTTTTCAGAATGAACCAGTGTACGTCGTACATGCATTGATTGATGTCTTATGTCTCCCTAAAGTGTATAAACCGAAGCTGTACCCTGACGACCTTGGGGATGTTTCGTCAGGACCTCCTGAGGTTGTGTCAGGGGCACGTCCTTAACCTTAGCAAAATAAACTTCTAAATTGATTGAGACCTGTCTTGGGTACATTTTGGTTCATAACTTGTAACATTTCCTAGATTCCCTTGTGGAGGGTTTGCTGTCTGCCACCTACCACGTCTTCTTTGGGGAATGTCAGATCCAGGGCAGGGATTTCTGTTGATTTGATTCCCTGAGGTATCCCCAGACCTCAAGAAGTGTCTGGCATGTAGAAAACCTTCTTACATATTTATTGCCTGAAGGAACACATCTGCCTCCCCCACTAGACTATGAGACCATTCAGGGTCTCATTCTCCCCCGTGTGACGGAGCCCTCTATGCATCCTTGCGTCATGGTGCAAAGAGCCTCACAAAATAACAGAATTAAACCATGCATGTCTTAGAGACAGAGGGGACATTCTGGGGGTAGTTTCTACTTTCTTCAGCACGACACACATTTCTCTTGAATGGTCTGTGCCCATTACTCCTACATTCTAGCTGAGACGGTCTCAGGCCCACGCCTCCCCCTGGCCACAGATGGCCTCTACCTGCATCCCCTCCCTTCCCTAGCCCCGAATTCTGCATTCAGAAGCTGTGTGTGTGTGCAGGAAAGGGCTGAGATGCCGCTCTGTAGATCCTCATCATGTAAAGGTAAAGTTAAGCTCTGGGAAAAAGATTCAAACAGCTAGAGGCTCTTGCAATCCCACCAGGGCACAGCGGATCTCAGGTTTGACGCATCTGTTCTGGAGAGATGCAAGAGGGACATTGTGTCCAGGTTATTTTCTGGGTGTCAGTGACGTCTAGCAGGAGACAGACTACATGACCCAGGAACACACGGGCAGGTCCTGTTCATCCCTGAGAGAGAGGGTCCCTGCTCTGTGTCGTTTGTCAGAGACACAGAAGAAACTCCTCCCCACAGTGAGATCTCCACAAGTGGTGCTGATGGGGACCTGTGACTCTCAAAGCAGTCACATGACTCCAACCCCAGGGGTGGCTGTGAAGGAAGCTGACCGTGTAAACTCAGGGGTTTAGATAAGTAAGCCTGGCTGTGGCAGGCTGGAGTGGACGAGTCTGGGAAAGTCAACTTGAGACAACCTCTCACTGACTGTACAGGGTGAGACCCAAATATCAGGAGAAGGTCATGAACATCTCATGTCTGAACTTTGCTGTGTGACAGTGTCTCTCATGCTGGACATGATCTCCCAAACAGCTTAGACGTTTCAATCCCTGGAACACGGAACCAAAGACAGACCAGGCCTCCCTCCAAGCAACCATCTCCTACCAGCTCTGAAACGTCCCACCACCCTGGACACACACTCTCAGATACCTCAGGGACCTCACAGGGTGGTCACAAAGGCAAGAGACCCCAACGACACTTAGAAAGCCCAGATAACAACCCAGGAACGAGCAGCTCAGAGACCTCAACCCTGGACACACAACACTGAACAGCTTGCAGAACTCAGACCCCTCCGAGAACTCATTGAAGGAGGACACAGTCCTCAACCTGCTCCAGAGACGTCAGATTCTAAATTCAGACCCATGTGCATGTGAGCAACACAGAACCTGTGATGTAGAAACCCGATTACCTCACGGACCTCACACCCCTGGACCCAGAAGCCCACAAAACCATAGTCGCCCACCTGAGATCGGACACACCGTAGTTGAGGGACCAGGACAGGGGAACACAGAGGCCTTGGGCTGCAATGTTTCCCTGTAACAGACACCTAGGAGACCTCAGAGTGTGGGACACACCATTCCCACACAGCACAGACTTTACAACCTGAGACACAGCAACTCCTCAACATGTCAGCCTCAGCCCCTGCAGTGCGGACTCATAACCAGGTAAGGGAGGACACGCCGGGGCGCCCAGGACCCCAAAGGATCGAACACCTCTCGTGGAACTAGAATAACACTCAGTGTTCTCACAACTCGGTATGGAGCCCCAAGAGCTATTTTTGTCCATCATTGACACAGACACTCAGAGCTCCGACCCTACTTTACCAAATCAGAAATGCTCCCACGCCTTGCATTCTAGACACAATACCTAAAAGCAGATCAGACACCTCACACGCTGGAAGAACCCTACTCCAGCCCAGAGGGACTGTCTCCGGACACAAACCCTCCACACCTCAGAGACCTGCCGACCTGGAGACACTACCCTCCCAAATTGGTCAGAACCTCCAGAGATCTGGGCCCAGAGCCTGAAAGAGCTCAGCAGAATGACATCTTGCACTGGAGACACCTAAAGTCACTTGGTACAGGACACGTGTCAGATGCGATCTGGCAGAGATCACCCAGGCTCATGAAGGCAGACTACAGAGACAGAGGAGACAGGGAATGAGACAAGTCAAAGGGAGCAATGAGGTCAGGGAGAACTTTCCGAGGGACTCAAGGAGAGCATTTCTGGACAGCTTCTGTGCTCACGGAGTCAGCTCCATCTTAGGACCCGGGCCAAGGCAGCCAAGAGTAACTTCTTGTTTTCCAGGTGAAGGGGGCCTCGGTTTCTGCCCTCAGAGCTAGAGGCCTAGGCCACCCGGGAGGACAGGGGCTGGCCGAACACCTGGCAGACCCTTTACCCATCAAAATGGGGATCCATTCTAGGTTGGAGGTTCATGCCATCATGAGGTGGAACCCTGTGCCCCTAAGGCCCCAACTGCCCTTCTCCTGCAGTGCTGCTGTCCCAGTGTGGAGAAGGGGTGTCTGTCTGCCCAGTGGAGTAAGAGCATGAGCCTGTGCTGCCTTACAAAGTGCTGGAAGCTTCCCCCAGCCCTGGGACTGCTTGTCCACACCCTCTTCATCGCCCTGAGCAACTCTGCTTCAGCCTCTGGGCAAGTGCACTCGGAGGCACAGTGGCCACCTGGCTTCTCTCTGCCCTCTGTGACCCTGAACAGAGGACACCTGCAGATCCTTTGAAGAGATGAAGCAGAGGCAGCTAAAGTGGAGGCTGAAGCAGCTGGCCGTGCTGTGCTGAGGCTCCGTGGCACAGGCAGAGCTGACGCTCAGGGGGCGCTGCTATCCCCACCAACCATCCTTCTATGCCCCAAGAGACCCATCCCCCTCCCTCTCAGTACCTGATTCTGCTTTGAGACCAGGACATGAGGGTATCCACGCTTGCTGCGGGCTTTGTGCAAACGGAAGGAGCACAGTTATCTCACCATCTCCACTCCTAGGCCAATCCTAGGGCAGGGCTACTGCTCATGGACAGCTTGGCTGTAAGGCTGTGAATTCGGCAACTGAGGCCCAGGTGGAGGCCTGGCCAGTGGGCTTCATCCTCCTGGCAGACACCTCAATTCAGCACCTCTGATTCCCTGGTGGACGTGCACTCCGCAGGACCACGGGACCACAGGACTCAGTGCTCGCATCTCGCATTTCCTGCAGCGCTCTGAACTGCAGTCGGGTTTAATCAGTGCCTGGTGGGATGCTCTCTGACTGAAGAGCCAGCTCCTTAGCTACACTGCCCCAACACTTGTCCCTGTAATGCCTAAAATCCCATATTTAGGCTGGGCACAATAGCTTACTCCTGTAATCCCAGCTTCTCAAGGCTGAAGTGGGAGGATCAGTTTTGAGGCCAGGAGTTCAAAGCCAGTCTGGGCAACATAGGGAGACCACTGTCTCTGCATAAAATTAAAAATGAGCTGGGCGCACAAACCTAGCCATCATTCTCAGCAAACTGTTGCAAGAACAGAAAACCAAATGCTGCATGTTCTCACTTATAGGTGGGAATTGAACAATGAGATCACTTGGACACAGGAAGGGAACATCACACGGGAGCCTGTCGTGGGGGGTGGGGAGAGGGAGTGGGAGGATAGCGATGAGAGATGCCTAATGTAAATGATGAGTTAATGGGTGCAGCACACCAACATGGCACATGTATACATATTTAACAAACCTGCATGTTGTGCACATGTACCCTAGAACTTAAAGTATAATAATAAAAAAATGGGCTGGGAAGGTTGTAAGTGTAGGTCCCAGGTACTTAGGAGGCTGAGGTGGGAGGAGGAAGATTTGAGCCCAGGAGGTTGAGGCTGCAGTGAGCCTTGATTGTGCCATCACATTCCAACCTGTGTGACAGAGCAAGACCCTGAATCAAAAAAAAAAAAAAAAAAAAAAATTCATTAAAAAAATCTCGTATTTACTTATTTTTAAAGATTGATTTACAAAAAGATTGAAAAAGATTTACAAACCATTCATTAGACAAATTATTAATATCCAGGATATACAAAGAGTTGAACATCTCTGCAACAACAAAATCATCCAAGCTCAAATAAAGGAAATGATCCAGAATAGATATTTCTCAACGGAAGACCTACAAAAATGGCCAAAAATGTAACTAGAAAATGCTCAGCATCACTAATCCTGGGAAACACAAATCAAAACCACAATGTGAGCTGGCTAGATGGAGTAGGCCTGTAGTCCCAGCTGCTAGGAAGCCAAGGGAGGAGGAATGCTTGAGTTCAGGACTTCAAGACAGCCTGGGTGACATAGTGAGGCCCTGTCTCCAGAAAAGAAAAGAAATAGTAAAACCACAGCAGTTATCATCTCACACAGTTACAATACCTGT